CTGCCCCTTGCTCTGGGCAACCCTTGCACGTTACGGGGATGAAGGCTGCTTTAGAAAAGCGTGGGCTAGTTAGGGCAGCTGAAATGGAGCGAGGTGGCTGTGCGTAAGGAAATGCTCTCCAGGTCCAGCCTTGTTCTCCAGGATCGTGGGTCTGTGACCTGCACCCAGAGCTCCAGGATGAGAGCATCTGCGCAGTGCTCAGGTGAGCTTTCTGCTCTGGCTACCGATGAGCAGCGCAGCTGATCGCAGGGGAAAAGGACATTTGTGCTGTTGAAAGCAAGCTGGCTGTGCCTGGCATGGCTGTGCCCCTGAAGGAAAACCGCATGAGTTTACATTTCAGACTCACTCTTCATAGGAGAACTACCTTTCCAGTCCAGTGGTGTCTCGCTGAGACCATGAGAAGGCGTTCGCTGCCTCTGTGCCGTGTTCTGCCCAGCAGCAACTTGCTGGATGGGTGCTTCGGGCAGGGGCAGGGGAATCAACCTTTTGGGGAGACACACCGTGCAGCTGGCCTCACCTTCAGCCCCTTTGCAATTTGACCTTGGCCAACAAGTTTAAACAAGCAGGTTGTTTGAAAAAATAGAATGGGGACAAGCGATTTCCTACTGGCCTTTCAGCCTGCACTAAGTGAAGGTCCTGAGGACAGAGGCTGCTTTTTGGAACTGGCCTATTTGGGCTTTGGAGTGTGTATTATCTCCCTGAAAGAGGACTCTCTTGAAAGGCTGGGCAACAACTCTTAACGCCTTTGAGCTTCCTTTATGTTTTTCAGACATTTGAAGGTCACGACGCCTCTGTACTGAAGATCATTTTCGTAAGTCGAGGAACGCAGCTGCTCAGCAGGTAAGTGCCTACCCCTGGAGTCTAGAGGAAGATGCCAAAATTAATTAGAAGAGAAATCTCTTTGCTGATAGCAGCAGCAAGAGGGAAGAGTCTTGTGCAGTGGATTTAGTTTTGGCAAGAGTGTGCATCTCGCCCTTGACGTTTTTGGTTGATTCTGTTCCTGTTTGAAAGGCGTTGGAATGGGACAAGTTCACCTGATATTTGAGGTGGGACAGAGCAAGAATGGATCTGTCCATTGATCCTTGTTGTTGTGTTTCTTTTCCTTCCAAAAGTGGATCTGATGGTCTCTTAAAACTCTGGACAATTAAAACAAATGAGTGTGTGAAAACGTTAGATGGTCATGAGGATAAAATCTGGGGTCTTCACTCTAACAAGCAAGATGACATGGTTGTGACAGCGTCCAGCGACTCCTGCATCACGCTGTGGAAGGTACAGTTCGGGGTCCAGTTGGAAAGCTTGGGATCCCCGTGGCTTATCCTCGCTGTTCCAGCATGCCATGTGCTCTCCTCATTCTCTGCACTCTGAAATGGGGTCAGGAAGGCGTATCTGGGCATTTGGGGCTCTTTTTTCGGCCGTGCTGCACTTCCCCGGTTGATGGTGTCAAAGGAGCAGCAGCCGGGCCCCAGCAGCCTGCTCAGCGCTCCTGTTGTGAAGGTGGTTGGGGGGAAGTTGTGAGTTACTGGATTTAACACTGAAATTACTTGACCTAGAGATCTTCCTGCAGAAACCGGTCTCCTGCTCACTTGATGGCTAAATAACAAATTCATCTGTATGAAAGGAAGATTTGAGGAAGTTGTTCTGTTTTCCTACAGGATGTCACTGAAATTGAAGAGAAGGAGGCACAAGCTAAACAGGAGGAGCAGATTCTGAAGTAAGTCAATCCTGTGCGGTGATGAGCTGTGAAAGGCAAACTCTGTCCAGTGCAAGTGTCCACGCCTGCGGCCGCCCGGCTCTGGCTAATCCGAGCGTGACATCATTTGGCTGTTTAGAGGCTGGCAAGGCACAGCAGTCTCTTCTAGTTGGTGGTTTATCTTCAGCTCCTGCAGAGCCTTGCTGTGATACTGTCAGCTTGACAGTTGATTGGTTTCATTTTTATGCAGTGCTAAGATAAGCAAAGTCAAACTGCCAGAACTTACTTTCACTTTCTCCTGCTTCAGCCAGCACGGAGTAGTTCAGGGAGCCCGTGAACGTGCCGGGATGATGATCTGCGCGCTGAGGGCACTGCGGCGTTCGGTGGCAAGCAGGATTAGCTTCTCAGCCTTAAACCTCTGCACGCTGTCCTTGCCAAAGCTGCTACTTTCTGTATTTTGTTCCACCAGCCAAATAGTTGTCTCACTCTCTTGACCCTGATTTGTTTTCCAGAGAGCAAGAGCTTTCTAACCTGCTTCACGAGAAAAGGTATCTCAAAGCTTTAGGCTTGGCAATCTCTCTGGATCGTCCGCACACAGTGTTGATGGTGGTCAAAGGTGAGTCCACGGTGTGCTCTGAAGGCATTTTCCTGCCCTTGCTGCTTTCCAGAACATCTTTTCCACGTACACAAAGACTACAAGTCTGATTGAAGCCCCAGTTTTCTCTTTCTCTTATGACTCCTGTTTTCCCAAGGGAGATCACCCTGATCCCAAATGCTCTCCCTGCTCTCAGCCTGTGGGCTGGGCTCTGGCGTGAACTGTTCCTTTCTCTCTGCTGCAGCCATCCTCCAGGAAACTGATGGGAGAAAGCACTTGGAAGAGAACATCGTTCGACTCCGGAAGGATCAGAAAGGTTTGTTGAATTGGGGTTTAAGTGCTAAAGCCCTTCAGGTTACAGGCTCGTTTTCTTGACTGAAATGAAGAGTCTCGCTGGACTCAGCGTTCACCTCTGAAGCAGGGCTGCTGCCCAGGGCCAGCTGCTTTCTTACGGTGCTGCTCCTGCTGCGCACCCGCAGCTGCTCTGAGCTTCTGCGAGTGGCTTTGTCACCTCCCTTGCTTGGGATGTCCCTGTGACAGCTCGATAAATGGTTTTGTGTGGTTCTGCCCCTCTGGGCATCCCAGTGGGTGGGAGCTGAAACGCTCCGTAAGATGAAGAGATGCTTTTGGTATCGCCTGCATGCCAGCACCTGTGGCACAGCCGGTGCGTATGAACCCCTTCCTCCCCAGAGGCGGTGCTGACCTTCTTGGTGACGTGGAATACGAACTCTCGAAACTGCCACGAGGCTCAAGCCGTCATTGAAACCCTCCTGAAGCACGAAGCACCGGACAGCCTCCTGCAGTACTCGGGCATTAAATCCGCGGTGGAGTCCCTGCTGCCGTACACCGGTGAGTGACGCCGCAGGGATGGGCGGCCAGCCAGAGCTCTGCGCCTGTGTTAGGATGTTCCCTCTTTGCCTCGGTCTAAAGAGGAGAGAGACCTTTTCACCCCATTCTGCTGAGTTTTCTCCCCTGTGATGCTAACCGTTGGGTTCCTCTCTTGCAGAGCGCCATTTCCAGAGGCTGAGCCGCTTGCTGCAGGCTTCCATGTTCATCGATTTCATGTGGCAGAACATGAGGCTGGCGGATGCGCCCCAGCAGGACGACGCGGCGTTGTGACCCTCCTCCACCAGCTGCTGTTTCTGCAGGGCAGAGGCCGAACTGCTCCCACCAGGTACAGCAGCTGGAATATTCCTGTATTTTATAATAAATTTTTTAAATTGGATTTCTAAAACAAGTTTAGCATTCAGTCTTCTTGGGGCTTAATGAGAGGAAGGGGTCATTTCTTTGGCCAAGCTGTGGTTTCTCTTTTTTCTTTTTTTTTTCACCCACACCTTGAATTTTCAGGCCCAGACACTCAAGCAGCACTTAGTGTGGAGGAGAAGCAGAACCTGGCTCTGAGCAAGCAGCTGGTCTTTACTGGGGATTTAAAGACTTATGGAGTTGGGAGACACTATGGGCAAGGTCATATCGCATCCCAGAGCCCAGCCAGAGCCTGCGCTGCTCAGTGCTGTGTCACTGAATATTTTCTTTGCTTGTGCACAACGCAGCCTGGGCCAAGGCAGGGGTCTCACCGGTGCCCAGACGAATGTTAGTGCCTGGGAGCGAGATAAGCACAATTTTAATTCCCCAGCTAGCAATCTTTTGACATAGAAAAAAGACAAGAAATCTTCATAGATATTTACATTTATTTTATTTCAGAGACAAAAAATGTATAAAATTTAGAACAACAGAAATACCTCACAAGTTGGTTAAATTGCTTGTTTCAAAAAAAAAAAAAAAAAACTTGAGAGAATAACTAAAACCAAAGGTGGCAATCTATATAGAAGCCTTAAGTTTTCCTGTAACTATTTTTCTAACTCAATTCTAGCGAATGAGTTTAGGATGAGAATTGCTCTAAGTTTCAGTAACTGTCACACCCCCTTGAAAGGGGAATGTTTTGTTCATTAAAAGGAGCTCTGGCCCCCCTACCCAGGTGGGAAACAAGCTGTGCTCCAACCGTGTTTGTTTCTGTGCCTGCACAGAGATGAGGTTCAGAGCCAGCAGGCTGGTTGTTCTCACAGCTGTTGAGCCGCTCCAGCCCATTTGTACGTTTGATGGCCAGTTCTCTGCTACCCGAGTTGATCTAACCTTGAAAAAAAAAACCCCGCAACCCCCAAAACCCCAAACACCAAAAATCAAAGTGTTTAATATATAAAATAGGGGCTTCAGATAAATGACAGTGAAGATAATTGCAGCTCGGGATCTCACGGGTGGCTCTAAGCCGCTCGCTCTGTCTGGGTTTCACTCTGCTCCCCAGGGTGGTGCAGCACCCCGCCAGCCAGCCCCGGAGCCGGGAACAATACAAACAACGGTGAAATGTTCACCTGCTGCTCTGCAGGAGAAACACCTGCTGAGGGAGAATTAACTGAGTCCTGTGCGACCTGAACTTATGCAGGAGCAGCTGCCGTGACTCCCCGATAAGTCAAACCCCTCAATCCCCTCCTGCTGAGCCCAGGAAAGCCCCCCCTGGCCCCGTGGTCCCCCCGGGCGAGCTGCAGCCGAATCAGCATTACCCAGGGAAGTGATGTTTGCACGCGTGCTCCGTCAGGATCTAACCCTGTTCTCGGACGGTGACAGTCCCGAGCCCCAGCAGTCCCCATGCCACTGCCCAGGGCTCTGGTGGGATTTTGGCGAGGAGGGTGCCTGGGTTGGGGTCCGTGCCCCCTGGCAGCACTAGTGCACGCTCTGGAGAGGGAGCAGAGCCTGGAGGGCCGGCCGGGAGGAGGACTGCTGCACCGCTCGCTTGGTGACGGTGCTGCACTTCTGGAGGATCTCGTGGGCTGAGGGGCGCACGGGCACCTTGGGGACACAAGTGGCCAAGTCTGGGTCAGTCAGGGAGTGACTGAGATCAGCTGTGGCCAGCTCCACAAAGCCAGAATCGTTCCTGTCCCTGTGGGTGAGGTGTGGAGTCTTGTCGCTGTGCGTGGCCAAGGCACACAGCCCGGGAGAGCTCCTGTCCTGCTCGACTTCGGGCAGAGATCGGGATAAGTCAGGCTGCCAGCGCAGCTGGCCGTCCCGCTCGCCGCTGCTCCCCAAGTCGAGGGATGAGCTGTCTGACTCCAAGTCCGGGGTGGAGCTGGCCCTGGGCAGAGACTTTGATCTGCTTCTCAGAGCGCTCGCATCCTCTTCAGCCTGGTCCAGGGAAGAGCGAGCCTGCGCCCTGCGATGTCCCACGACCTCATCCCGGGGCTGGGGAGGCGTCGGGGAGGAGCAGAGGTTGGGTGTGGAGACGTTGAGCCCGCAGCTGATGATGGTCTGGAGCTTGTGGTGAGGATTCTTGTAGGGCTGGAGGAACACGGAGGGCATGTAGCCGGTGCGGCCGTTGTATCTGAGGGGGACAGAGGAAAAGCAACACTGAGAAGGGGAGATGGAGATGAGATCTTGGGAAGAAATGTTTTCCTGTGTGGGGGGTGAGGCAGTGGCCCAGGTTGTCCAGAGAAGCTTTGGATGCCCCATCCCTGGAGGTGTTCAAGGCCAGGCTGGATGAGGCTTGAGCAACCTGGTCTAGTGGAAGGCGGCCCCGGCCCCCTGGTGCCCATGGCAGGGGGTGGCACTGGGTGATCTCTAAAGTCCCTTCCAAACCAAAACCTTCTGTGATTCTAAGAGCCGTTCTCCCCCCTCAGACCCAGGGGAGGGCACAGAGAGCCCAGGGGAAGCAGGTGAGGACTCAGCCCAAAGCTGTACATGGGGCTTGAGGAAGGGGAAAACCGTCCCTAGCCCAGGGCAGGCAGCTCGGGGGGAGCCCCTCTGCACCCCCCATGGGGGGGGGACACTCAAGGAGCACCTGCAGCAGGTAATCGGCTCCCTGGGCAAAGCCTCCTCACCGGATCAGCCACCAGAAAAACACCTCCACAACCACGCCACTGTTCAGCGAGAGCTCATCTGCCTTCTGCGACTCGTAGCCCTGCACAACGAAGTACAGGCTGCCTGCAGGGAGAAGGGGGAGGTTGGTTTTGCCTGGCAGACACGATCCCCCCATCGCTGGGCTGACCAGCTCAGCCGCCCTGGGGAGCAGGCGAGAGCTGCAGGGCAAGAGTCCCTGCAAGGGACGGGTTTGCTCAGAGACCCACAGCTGGTGGAAAGTGAGAGCTTCAGAGATGCAGGCAGGGACTCCAGGCAGTGGTTAAATGGGGGGGATTTTTTGCAGAACTAATTTTTTTGAAGGAGGAATGCGGTGTAATCCTGAACCCAGAGCCACTGGTGGGGTGCCAGGGAGCCAGAAGCAGACTCACCCTCCTCGTCTGAGCTCCAGGCGTTCTGGATGTCCCTGTGGTTGTCAAGCTCTTCCAGGTAGGAGGCTGGGAACCAGGCTATCTGCTTGTCTGCGTTTTCCACCAGCCACCATCCTGCAGCAAAGAATAAAAAAGGGTTTTGAACAGCCTGAAAGTAGACAGACGACCGTAATCCCAGGGTAGGGGCTGCTCTGCCATAAGAGGCGTGGGGGTGTTCTGCAGAGCAGCTCCGTGCTGATGCTTAGCTCTTTCCTCCCATGTAAATCCAGGTCAGCACACCATGCGGACAGACACCCACCCGCACCCGGGACACCACCCACTCGGCATCTGTCAGGCTGTAAATCAATCTGGAAATTGTACAACTGGGGAATCACTGTCACGTACCAGTCATGTCCTTGATTAACACTTCAACAATTTCCTTCTTAGCGACTTTGAAAGCCTTGTTCTTTGTGTCTTTGGTTTCGAAGGTTTCGATGCAGCGGTAGCTCTGGGATGTCTGGGGATGTGTAATCGAGGAGGGCTGCACCTGTGTCTGGGTTTTCTTTTCCCCTCCGATTTCTGAGGGCATGATCACAACACTGAAAAGTCAAGGTTAATATCAGTTTACTGAAATCTCACATGGAAGGTTGAGTTTAGTATTAATTTTGGTAAAATCCTCTCTGCAGTAGGCTGAGAAAAGCTCAGGCACCAGAAACAACAGACACGTGCTTTAAAGCATTTGGTAGATTTTCCCTGCTCTGCTGCCCGGGGTGTAACGGTTGTTTCTCCTCTACCCATATTCCACAACATCTGTGTTTCCCGAGGACACACACAAACAAAAACCACAGCTATGATTTCACACCTGTTTTCAGGGAAGCAGGGATCTAGGTCTTGGGTCTGTGCCGTGAAAAACCGAATCACATCTTCCCCCTGGGAAATTTTCGCATGTGTTTTCAGCAGCTCCTGGGAGTACGTCTCCAGCAGCTTCAGGATCTCCAGGCACCTGTTCAGCTTCCCACTCCT